AGGCTGGGGGCGAGGCTGGCCGGTCCCGCTCCCGCCCGCCCCACCTCCACCTGCCTCCCCGCAACCACCACCACCCCGGGCAGAGCGCGGACTATTTATTACCTGCGTCTCGGAAAGGCTGAGGCTGCCGGCCAGCTGCTTCCGCTCGGCGCCCACCACGTAGTGGTTCTTCTCGAAGGCACGCTCCAGTCGCAGCAGCTGCGAGGGCGAGAAGGCCGTGCGGATCCGCTTGGGCTTGCGCGCGAAGGGGCCGTGCAGAAGCAGCCCGTCCTGGGGCACGTCGCTCGCTGCGGCCGCGCCGCCGACGGCAACACACGCAGATACAGACAGAGAGAAGCGCGCGGTGAGCCGCCCGCCGGAGCCGGCCAGGCTCGGGCCTGGCGCGGCGCTCGCACGCGCCCCCGGAGCGATCGGCTGCCCTCTCCAATCCTCGACACCCAACCTCTCTCCCAAATTCTCCCCTATCCCTTTTGCCGCCCCTTCCTTCAGTCCACTCTCCTCCCCAACACCTCCCCGCTGAGAGCTCCCAGGTCGAGGCCCGGGGAATCACAGCGCTGGGGATCACTGTTGGGCCAGAAGCCGGGCCCAGGCCTGGTGAGGCGCCGACCGGCCCAAATCCACAGTGTCTGGAGCAACGGAAGAGGCCAAGGAGTGGGGAGCTATCTTTGTCCACTTGCCCCATCAATTCTCCTTCAGAGTGGATCAAGAGTAGAGACGAGGCTGGGTGTCAGGAAGGTGGTAAGAGGAACAGCCAGGCTGTTAGGCATCCCAATACCAAATACAGATCCAGGAACTAGAGGCTACCCAAGGAACTCGCCCCTCACTCCTGCTTGAGCCAGCCTTGCAGCTAGATGCTCAGGCTACTAGGTGGTGGAAAATTCCTGCCAACAAGCCCGGGCTCTACCTTGCAAGTGGTAAAAATAGGCCAGGGAGTAAGGCAACATCCAGGCAGCACCTGGAGGTCTAAAGTCAGGTTTCTTCTTCCTCTTTCCCCACCTCTCTTCCCACAGACCTTCAGGTAAACTCTCCCCACAGGAGACTTACTGCTCTCTGGTGGGAAAAGGCCTTGCTTCATCCCTGAATAGTCCCGCGTTGAAGAAATATGTGTATAAATATCTAGATGTCATCTTTCTCTCTAATATATATAGATATAGGTATATTGGTTTCTGCATGGGCGTGTGTGAATATATGCTCCAGCCTCCCTACTGGCTTTTTCTTCTATTTACCATACAGGATTTCGAAAGAGTGTAACTGTCCCTGGCAAATGTTGGCCATCATGGGGACTAAGCTCCTACATGCCAGAGGAGGGGCTGACAGGGGCTGGCTGAGGCTGGTGTGGTAGGGTCAGGGACCACAAGAGCCAAAACAAGCTTCCACCCACAGCCTCAGTCTCCATGACCCATCTCCCTCCTTAGACTCTCACACAACCTCTGGCTTGGTTGCACATGCTAACAGACTGGAAACAGGCTCTGACACCACCCATGGCTTCTCATACAGCGGCACATAACAGTACCCCTGACCCACCACCAATGCAGAGAGCTAGATGAAATGTTTTGACAGAGTTAGCTGCTGAGATTGACTGATCCAATTAATTTCTTCAGAAATGGCCACTGGTTTGACTCAGTTTGAATTGTTGTTTTGTTCTAAAGACAATTGTTTGGATAATTTGGTTGAGATCTCCCATCTCTGGAAATATCTCTGCCAGTGAAGCAAGGGCACATAACTGAGCTGCTGTTGCTAAAACTCTCCAGGTAACTGTTCATGTCCCTCTGCTGGTAGAAACTGCCTGACATTACTTTCTCCAAGCCCATGGGCTTTAGACACGCAGGCAAACTCTATTGCTGGAGTTTTCTGTGAAACACCATTGCCTAGGAATGAGGGGCTAGCACCTGGGGGGAGACAGAGCCTCCCGACAGGGTGAAGTCATTAACTTCCAGTCACCTTACCTGTTTCAAGTGGCTGAATCTGTGCTGCCACGAAAGGGGGTGAAATCACATTACAGGAAGATAGAGGGGGGACACCCTGCCCATTGAGCCCTTCAAGGTGGGGGCAGACCAAGGGCTCTGAGGGTTGACAGAAGGAAGAGAGGTTTAACTTGTGATGGTGGAAGAGACAGATGATCAGGGGAGGTGGTCTGACAGAGAAGGGTTAGAGGGAAAGGAGGATGATCAAGGTAGGAATAAGGATTAAAGCTGCAAGTGGGGGCCAGAGTGACCAGCCAGAGAAAAGTGGGAGAGGTGGGTGAGAAGCAAACACTTCGTGTTGACATTAAAATAAATTGTTTCCAAAAAATCAGTGTTCCAAGCTCAAGTCAGATACCAACAGTGGCTTCCTCTGGACAAATGAGCAGGAGAGGGAGAGAGAAAGCTCAGCACACCTCCATGATCCCAGGGTTCAGCCTCAGCAGGTTGACTGTGGCTGGTCAGAAGTGAGGTGGCAGCATGGAGAGACCCCACAGTTGTGAGTGAATGTGATGCCGAGGTGTGTGTGAAGGGCAGTGTGGGGCTGAAAAAGCAGGACTGCAACCTCAATGTGTGTGATTTGCCGGCTGTTTTGTAATTCCCTGGTGTGTGTTGGTCACCTGTATGGTAGAGTTCTCTGTGTTTGTCTTTATCCGAAGTGGAGGATGAAAGCAACAAGCTTCTCTGTCCTGACATTCATGTGCCTCTTTGCCCAAAGTCCGGCTATTTTAGGGGAAAGTTCGGTTGCTTGCAATCTCTCTCAGTTGGGGAGAGAATGGCCCTAGTTCATTGTAATATTCTGTCAGGACAGATAGCATGTGTCCCGCAGTCTGTGCGTGCATGTACAGAAACATAGGGGTCCTTCTGACCCAACCAAGAAGAAGCAGAGGCCAGGAAAATTATTCAAGATGCTGATAAGTGATGACAGATTTGATTTCAAAAGAAGCAGGGCTTTTCCTTGTAAGGAAAAGTATGTTTAGTACAAAACTAACCATCCCAAGAAACTGATCAATAGCTACATGTTTCTATAAGGAGCAGGATGCTGCCAGGTGCCTATGTGCTTGGGCCCCTCTCATTCTGACCTATCAGAAGGAGGCCTCAACCATCCCTACCAAGGCTTCAGTTTCCCTTAACTGGACAAGGGCAGAACAAGCTTGGGACTGGGGTGCGATGTGGCCTGTTGCGATGCAGTAATTCTGGGCTGTGAGAGTGGGCTGTCAGTTTCAGACAAGGAGGGGTGGAAAGGGGCTGGTTTGGCCTTCCCTGAAGCTAGTTCACTGAACCCCACTCCTCCGCATTTTCCTCCAGCCTCCCTCTGAGGGCCCCTTTAAGGCAATGGCTGGGAACTAGCAATAGAGGTTCCCAGGACTGAGGCGGCAGGAGGTGGGAGCCAGCGATTTGATGGCCCAGGGCTCAGGCTGCAGTCCCTCCTGGAGAGGCCGTGTCAGGCTGGGGACTCTAGGCCGGATGGTGGGGCGGAGGGGCCTGGGGCTACGAGAGGGAGAGGCCCGCCCGGCAGCAGAGATAACCTCTTTACCCCGCCTCCCGCCGGAACAAAGGCGCCCTTTGAAGCACCGGCCCATTACCACCACCAGTCCCACAGGGCTGCGTCTCCCACGGCCCCCTCCCGACCCTGCTCCCCGGCCTGGAAAGTTCCTGCTATCCCGGGAAATAGCATCCAAGTGTAGCTAACTCCCGGTGCCCGCCAACTCCTCCCCTTCTGGCCTCGAAAGCTGCCCCTGACTTCGGAGTCCCTCCGCGTGGTCCCGAGCATCCCGCGCTGGCTTTTCCTCTTCCATCGCCTTGCTCAGCGGAGAAGCCGCTTCCCTGCGCGCAGGCACCGCGCTGCTGGAGAGCGCTGCGCACAGAGCGCAGACGTGTTCCTTTTCGTTCGTGTAGGGTTTCGCTTCTTGCATTAAAACGGGGCTGAAATGAGCATCGCAGAGACCCGGTTCTCTAGAAAACGCGGCGCCGGAGGGCCTGAAATGGCTCGGCTCGCAGGCCCGAGGGGCCCGCGGGACCGCAAGACGCAAGGGCGCCCGGGCTGCAGGGGTCTGCCCGGAAGATGACCGGCCCCGAAGCCAAAACGTCTCAAAGTTCAAAAAATCCTTCAGTGCCCAACGGATTTCCGTGTTCAAAAATGCGGCCACATTTGGCTCCATCTCCGCATCCAGACACAGTTCTTGAGAGAAAAATGCAACCGTTTTTGCAACTCGACAACGAGCCCGCCGGGACTGATGGCTCAGGGAGCCGCGGCAATTTCCGAGAGGTTTTTGCGAAGGTTTTATCCGGCCTCGTGTGACTGGGGATGCTCAGAGCCAGAGCTGGATCTCACGCGAGGCGCCCCGGACACTTGGAGGCTCGGCCCTCGCGCCCCAAGCTCGCGCCGGCGAGGCCAGAAGCGGGAAAGGTGGCGCGGAGGGCGTGGGGGTGCGGGGTCCAAAGCCGAGGGAGTCCCCAGGGAGGCCATCTCAGCATAAGGAGAGCACAGGGGTCAGGACCGGCTCTGACCTGAGCCCCTGTCCCTCTACCAGCCTCCTAACGCCGGTGCCTCAACTGCCTTGGGCCCGAAGGTTCACAAACAGCCGCAACTCAAACTGGCGCACGGTCACCAGGTCTAAAGACCCAGGCCAGGGACCCAGCCCATGGAGGACTGAGGTGGTTTGCTCATTTTAAAATAAAACTTTATTCTATCAGTAAACATTGATTTTAATTGACAGGTTTCTTGTCCGTTGTGTCCAACAACATACGCATTTTTTCCCTCCGGATGATTTGGGCACATCTTTGAAATCCTCAGGGCAGACAAGTCTGCCCACAAAAATTCTTGCTCAAGCAATTACATTTTCTTCTTTTGTGGGATCTGATGGGTGAGTATCTACTGGGCAGATGGGACTGAGAAAATTGTCTGACAAATCAGGACCCGGGAAAGCAGCTTTCCGTGAAACAGTTAAGCAGCTATACCCAAAGCTTCAAGAGATCATTTTTCTTCTCTTATGTAGACAATTGTACCAGACATTCAGTTTATTTTCACAGTGTAGACTTGGTTTATCGTCAGATTAGCCCCAGGAGCAGGAGGTCTAGCCCTGTGCTTTTCATTTGTTTCGCTGAAAGCCGGGTTACCTAGCTCTGAGTCATGGAGCCTCATGAGGCTAACTCTCGTCTACACTAGCAAAATAAAACCGGAAGCTAAACCAATTACTGCACAAATTAAATCAGAAGGAGGAGGAGGGAGGGAGGAGGTGGAAGACGAGGAGGAGGAGGAGGAGAAGAAGAAGAAGAAGAGGAGGAGGAGGAGAAGAAGAAGAAGAAGAGAAGAGAGAGAAGAAGAAGAAGAAGAAGAGAGAGAAGAGAGAGAAGAGAAGAGAAGAAGAAGAAGAAGAGAGAGAGAGAGAGAGAGAGAGGAGAGAGGAGGAGGAGGAGGAGGAGGAGGAAAGAAGGAAGGAAGAAAAAAAAGAAGAAAAACTCCAACAAATTCAAGGAAGAAAACGAACTCCAACTAATGCAACTCTTTCCTTCGGGAAAGTCATATTTTTGAAACGTGAGAGAGAGAGGGAGAGGCAGAGACAGAAACAGAGAGACCGACCAGTGGGGTATCTTCTTTGGCAAACCCATTGCCCAGTGCAGACTAGAAGGCTTGGACTGCCTACGACCTTCAGAGCCCTCTGCCCCCGCCCCCTGCCTGGGAGGACTGCCGTCAGTCCCCAAGTAGCTGGGTGGGTTCCCCAAATCGGCGAGCGGAGGAGGAAGCCGATTTGCTGCCGCAAATCTTCCCCACCCTGGGTCCGACAGGCACGTGTGACTTGGCGAAGTCGGGTCGAGATTGCTGAGAAACATCCCAAGACAGCGGAGCACTCAACACTGAACATTAACTCTCTAGTTTGCCCTCCCCTCTGCCCCTTCTTCCTACAGACCCGGGGCACGCAGGTGGACTTTCCCCTGCCTTCCCGCGCCAGCGAGGACGGATCCCTGGGAGTTGGTAGTGGAAGTGCGAGAGAAGTATGGTCCCGGGTCCAGCCGGGTCCGCGGGAGGGCGGCGGGCGCTGAGCTCTCTGGTGTGGCACTGGCTCAGCCAGAAGAGATTAATGCAGGCCTCGCGGAAGATCAGGAGAGCTCCGAGGATGTGCCCGGGCTTGACGTCCGACAGGCATAGTTCTTGGGAAAGCCTGGAGGTCCCAACCCGGTTCTCTGGGAGGGAACCCAACGCGGCAGAAGCGCGGATGAATCTGGCGCGGCTCTTCCCTGCCTAGGATCGGCCTCTGTGGACCCGCAGCCTTCTCAGCAACAACTTCTGAACAGCCCCGCACGCCCCCGAACCTCCCCCGCGCCACTACAGCTCCGGCGCCAGCCGGCCGGCCGCCGAGGCGGGCACAGCGTGGGCACTCACCCTGGAAGCGGTGGCCGAAGAAGCGGTTCCGCAGGACCCAGGGGTAGAAGTGCAGAGGGTCCCGATGCTGGGCGCCGAAGAAGGAGTGCGGGGGCTGCAGCGGGGAGGCGCCCAGCTGGTGCGCCGGGTGCACGGTCAGCGCGGGATGGTTCATGG